CCATCATAATTTTGCCTACTATAATTAATTTACCATAATTTAAATTAAGCTCCTGATTATAATTTCCGACATTTGGTAGGCCATTTGTTTGTCAACTATAGTTTGATACATGCAGCTTCTCTTCTGTCATAACTTGTTAGCCCAAAAGACTAAGTAGAGCTCACCAGAATAATGTCTTACATCGATAGAATGAATGCATTAATAATCTAGTTAACACTGGTAAAATTGTCTGTTCCGTTTAGGGAACGAGGAGAAAACGCAATAACTCCAAAACAGTGGAAAGATTGGTCCTGTGCAAAATGTCAAAATGTCATCAGTTTGACCGGTTTTAAGGAAACGAAAAGCTGAGAAAACGATGAAAAAACATTTCTGATAAGACTTCAGATCGTCTTGGCTGCATACTTTATGTGGTTGAAATACTGTCTGCTTGCATTACAGTGTCAAAGATAACCCATTACACATGCATTTTCTCAAGAGATGCTGACAGAAAGAAATCATACTTCTCCACTCCTGTTCCTGAGACTAAATTAACATTTGTTGTATAATTTCACTGCAAGAAATACATAATTATGCAGGAGTTAATATGTGAGAGGTTATAGCCATACAGTTAGTGTCCATATTTCAGTTGCTATTCCATTTTATCCATATGAATTTAAATTAGGAATATTCTGTATATTCATGATACAGGGATACTCATGAGCGAGATATCAAAGATGGATGTAAACAGCTTACCCCGAATAAGACCTTAAGTGGGATATGAGCTACTATCCAGAATACTGTGCGCATGTAAAGGTGGTCAGTGTCATACAGATAGCAAGTCATGCAAACAGCAAAAGAGGATTCTTGAATCCAGTGCCGGTCGGTGCCGTTTAAGATGTGGGAGGACAAAAAAAAAGTCATGAGCATATGGCCTTATTTCTATTACAGCATATTGGATGACTGTCATTCATATTCCATTCACCCAGTTCAATGTAACATCAATAGGTTTAGGCTACTATATGATACTCTAATTTTCCCTATACCCATCATGAGGTTGCTACAACCTAGCCTATGAATTAAAGTTTACAACGTAAGTGCACACAGGTCGAGAGAAGAATTTGAGGTGACAGACAGTGGCACATGGACAGATGACACATTCAATACCGTCTTGCACACTCTTGCCTGCAGCTAGCTAATCTAGGGTGTAATCATTAGTCCAACAGTTGCAAACATGTTTCTTTTGGACAAATTCAGGTATGTTTATCCCCGTTCCATTTAAGAAGCATTTTCAACAGAATCGGCAGAATGAATACACCCCTGATCACACATAAACACAGTTCACTTTCATAGCAGCCACATTGTATTCCTTCTCGCATCTATGCACTCGCCACTTCTCATCTTTTCCCTTCACTTGTGGACTTCAATGCACAACACATCAGCTGTATGTGACTAGGCGAAAAAACTTTTCCAAGCCAAACCATATCATAACCGCTACACACAGCCTACATCGTTGTCAACATATTAGCTAAAGTAACGTCACAGTCAACATAGCTAATAGAAATAACCTGTAAACCTGATACAATTATGCAGTAACGTTACAGTGTACCGTCAGTAAGCAGTTTAGCAGTTACACCAGCGGGCCCCGGTGGCAATAAATTAGTAAAACCAAAAGTTTACCTTGACTTTGAAGAGTTCCAGTGTTGTGTTGGATAGTCATAGCCAGCTAGCTAACATAGCATCCCTCTGTTTGAGCCAGAGTGATGCTATGCTGTGTAAGTCTATGGAAGGGGGTGAGAACCATGAGCCTCCTAGGTTTTGTATTGAAGTCAATGTACCCAGAGGAGGACAGAAGCTAGCTGTCCTCCGGCCACACCATGGCTCTACCCTACAGAGTGCTGTTGAGGATACTGTAGACCTTCATTGCAAAACAGTGTGTTTTAATCAATTATTTGGTTACGTGAATATATATTCTATAGTTTTATCTAAAAAGGATAACTTTAATGTTTTACTATTTTTTATGAATCTCACTGAGGAGGATGGTCCTCCCCTTCCTCCTCTAGAGCCTCTTCTGCTTGAATCCAGCTAGCTAACATTAGGTGGCTTTCAGAACAAGAGTGAAAGACCTTGCACTATCACTTCCGTCATCATTTTCATGATTGCAATAAATACTGGCTGCTGTTCACATCCATTTTTAGCCGGGGGTCCCCGTATCGATAGTATTCGACGACCAGGAGAGGGTCCCCGGTAACCCATGATCAACATTCTGAAAACTACTTCAGTTAGTCAATTAGCTAGTAGCTAGCTTGTTTGTTTGTTTACTGTGGGCACGAGCGCCAGTTTATACACCCTTCCGCTAACAATTCATTTGAGATTTTTGGTATTTTGAGGTCATTCATTTAGATACAAGCTATGAACAAAACACATGAATAGGGTCATTTGAAGTAAACCGACAGACACTTGCAGCGCCATGTCTGCCTCGCAGCATCTTTGACAGCCGCGGTTTCCCACCGGCGCTTCAGGTAAGCTAATGACGTTTGCTATCTTAGTTAGTAACGCCGTTAGCATGTTACAACAGGCCGCACCCAACGAATAGGTTTTCTTTCTCCTTATAGAAAGTCTAAGGGCAAAAACAGATAACACAAACCTTGATATACTTTGTATGACATTCGATTTCATTTTGCTCCGATTCTTCGTGAGTTCTACCCTTTTGTTATTTTAGGCATCCTTAGCAGCTCTCCAGAATATTAACATGGCATCTAGCCAGCGATATTCCAGAAAGGAGGAGATAGAAATCCCATTAGGCAATGACTGGAGGAACGTATATCGCCCCACCCAGCAGACTGTCGACCAATCGCGGTCACGTCGTCATTGTGCGTCACGCGGATGTTAAGCAATCCCTTCTCAAAGTCAGGGTATGAGTCGAGAAACGTGCTTATTTTCCTCGAAAGTACGCAATGTCACGATTCCAAAGCTATATAATATTACATACAGCAAGTTAATTATCTCACATCTCGGAAAATATTAGTAATTTTGTAGTTCTTGTTGACGAAATCCATGCTAAGGTTGGGTTTTTTGAGCTAGCGCCCAATTGACTCCCATTCACTCCTTGAAGGAGAGCTCTCCATTTCCCAGAATCACTCAGAATGCACCGCACGGCCCATTGACGTAGCATGGGCAACGTACACAATGGGCGCTAATTTTATTTTAATAGAGTTTCCCCATCTCCTCAAAAGTATCTCTGATCTAGCTAGTTTACCGTTTTTCCTGTCGCAAACCCCACTTGCAAAGTTCGACCAATGGGTAAATGGTGGTCGGTGAATCAACCAATTAATACAAAGGATTTTGCAAAGTATATCCTACTTGAAGATAGGCATGTATTTCAGCGTATCAACTGTAATGTTGTATTATTATGCATGAACCTAATGCGTTGGTTTTCTTTCGTTTTCGTAAGGGGTCGCAAACGACCTATGGGAACTCCTTCCCATTCACTCATGTGATTGAGCTGCTTAATATCAAAGATGTTAACTGGCCGGCCGTTCGGCTGGACCTAGCTATCTGGCTGGCCGGACCGAGATATATGGCCAGTCGGTCCGGACGGCCAGATAGCAAGGTCTTTGCTGTCTAGCCTGCCGGCCGGCTGGACTTATCTGGATCTAGCCGGATCCAGCTATCTGGCCGGCTGGCCAGACCAAGCTGTCTCGCCGGCCGGACCTAACTTTCTGGCCGGCCGGACCTTGCTATAGGCCGGCCAGAACGCTTGGTCCGGCCGGCCGGCCAGCCAGATAGCTAGGTCCGGCCTACGGTTGTATACCACAGTTGAAATTCTGTTACCCTGTCAGGGACTCATCTGGACTAAGTTAAATGGTGAGTTATCCCACTCTGTTGTCCGAACGACCTCTTTGGTACAGCCTCTCCCATAGGTCGTTTGGCGACCCATTACGAAAACGAAAGAGAACGTTGGGTTACCTTGGTTCTCTGAGTAAAGTAACGGGTCGCCAAGCTTTCATACCGTTCCTCCACCTCCATAGGGTTCGAATGAAGTAATAGACAGTATGTCACGCCACACTACCTTTTATAGTGACAGATCACATGGGTACAGTAAAGGTGTGGCGTGACTGTAAACATCTTTGATATCTCAATCACATCGTGTGATGGGGAAGGAGTTCGCATAAGTCGTTTGGCAACCCGTTACTCTCCTCAGAGAACCAAGATTACATCCGTAACCCAACGTTATTTTATCATACAGTCACAATGTCATTTTACATTGTCTTTTGTCATGTACTGTATAAATAATTCAAGTTATAATCATTTCAAGACTCATTCTATAAGACTGTAGTAAATGTGTGTCAACTAATTGTAGTAAATATGCATACCATTTTGTATTGACAAATGTATTTATTATCATCATGGATGCATTGACAAATGTTAGAGAATAACACTGCATCAGCATGAAGGCCAGTGGGGTGAATGACATTAGGGTTTCACTGGCATATACCATTAACCACCTCATCTACCAAATGCTAGTGAGAAAATACAGTAAGTTAAGGCCACTGGGAGAAGATGAGTCAAAGTTGCCACATGATAAAGCCTTACACACAGTCCTGTGTAGCTCAGTTGGTAGAGCATGGTGCTTGCGACGCCAGGGTTGTGGGTTCGATTCCCACGGGGGGCCAGTATAAAAAATAAATAAAATGTATGCACTCACTAACTGTAAGTTGCTCTGGATAAGAGCATCTGCTAAATGATGTAAATTTAAGATACATTTAGTATCATGATGATACCGATATGGCCTGGTATATCACATTATACCTCCAATAAGGTACACTAATAATTCATTCTATACACATCATGATGTACATGTCAAACATACTTAAACAAACCTGTCTCTTGTCAACAATCAGCATGAATGCTCAGACATACAGTACATACTGCAAAGGGCAATATATTATTATAACCTAGACATGGCGGTTGTGGTCAGTCAGTCAATAGATAGAGGAAATCCAGTTTGTAAGTCGCTCTGGATAAGAGCGTCTGCTAAATGACGTGAATGTAAATGAAATCCAGATTGTTGTACAATCAGTGTGCTAATATTGATATAAATGGTATCCAAACATTTGGAGTCCCGTCAAGGGCTTGTTGTACAACACAGACATTGAAGACACTAGACTCATGCTTTGAATAAGACAATGAAGATTAGCAATAAAGGACAGCAGCACAAATCCGACTCAATGGACATCTGAAATTTCAAAATTCTGATCATCATACTGTATTTTTTTGCACATTTTAACACCTCAACAGTCTTTAGTGGACAGAAAATGTCACCCTAGTAAAGGCAGCTTTTGGACAAGTCATATGTACATTTCTTACCCATTTCTTAAGAGCTGATAAAAACATATGTCATGACGATGAGAGTAAAAGAGTCAAAAGCTCATGAGCACATCTCGCTCCTGTACACTGGTGTAGAATTGCTTCCCAAATACAAAGGAGTGCAGTCCAGCCCTCTGCTTCTCAGCCAATGCCATGACGATATTCAGGTCGCCTTCCACCATCAGGTCGAGGTCTGTCTTCAAGCTGCGCAAGGAGCGGAAAGGCTTCTTTCCCTTTTGCCTGCGGGTGGGGAATTCAAGCTCTTATCAAAAGTTGTACTACATGGTGCGCTGCTGTGCTGGGGCAAAAGTCATATTAAAACCAATTACATCTGCTTCCATAGTGAGAGGTAACTCACGTCTCATCTTCGATGTATTTGAGTAGTGTGAGCGCCTTCCTGTGAAGGATCAGCAAGAACTGGGCCAAGTAAGTACTTCGCAGATTGAGACCTGGCTTCAGCATGAACACCTGGGAACAAAACAGAGAATTAACTATTACAGTTGGCCCTGATAAGCCAACAATGGCTGACAAATGACAATAACATTTTTCGCACCACAAATATTGTTGCTTACTTTATGCCGGTGTCTTACCTCATCTATAAATGACTTTACCAGGGTGTCTTTATGCATAACGTCCTGAAATATATTTCTGAGAAAAGAGTGGAGCTTTTAGTGGTCATAAAAACAGAATAACATCCATATTTCTTTCATTAATGTAAACGTAAGAAAGACAAATACAAATTTGATACATATAAAATAAATCAAGCAATGCGGTTAGGCAGCAAAATAAACACTGCCAATTCCAATCTAATTGGAATAACAGAACAGAACAGGAGAGAAGAGAGCATACTGGTCAGGGGTGAAGAACTGGTCAGTGTGGATGCCGGTGTTGGGGGCGATGTCCTCTTCGCTGGCCGCCTTCCAAAGCGCACTGAGCTCTGAGTGCATGTAGCGACGCTGCATGTACGTGTGCTCGTGGCAGGGCGGCATCTGCTTCACCGTGTTGATGTCCACGTCGATGTGCGTGGTCGGGTAGGGCGAGTACAGCACCTGGTAGAAGACAAAGCTGCTCATGGAGTCCTGGGTGGGAGAAAGGAGTGGGAGAGTAATGAGGAGGGGGATCACAATGCCAAAGTGGCAGTCTGTTGTAAAGTTATGACCTTTTGTTAATTTTTTGAGGCCTTGGTTTGAAAAAAGACTATTCATTTGCGTGACATTTACATGCACTTACAATGGGATAATATTGATGTGAGTAAAACAAGGCTTTAATGTATCTCTCATTGAACACATTGGACCGAAGATCATTATTAGTTGGTGTGTTAGTGCTGGGCTGGAACAAAAGCCTGCACACCCAGTAGGAAAACTGTAATTTAGAGTAGCGTGGTGGGGTACCTTGAGGAGGCCTTGTACAAAAAGTCCTGTGTCGTACTTGAAAGTAGAGTCAGCCTTACAGATCCGAGAGCACTTCCTCTCAGCAGGGGTGAGGAAGAGGCACAGCGTGCGCACTATCTAGAGTACAAGAAAACATATGAATGAATATCAACGTGGAATACCTCTCAATAACACATCCGCATTTCCGTGAGGGAGAGAGGATTTGGAGGTGTGTGTGCGTGTTAACCAGTATTGTGGGATTTTGTATGCTGCAATATTTTATTAGATATGCAACATATGCAGACACGTCTGTGTGTAGAACATTTATGTTGATACAGCTAGTGTGTGGATGAGTGTGAATACATATGCTGATACAGCAGCCAGTGTATGCATGTGCTTAGCACAGAGTATTGGCAGCCTGTCAGTACCTTGTTGACTTTGTCTGGGTTGCTTCCGACCACCATGGAGCAGCCACAGGTTTGGAGATGAGAACTGATTGCCCTGAGAGACGGAGGCAAATTATGTATTAATGACAAGAATGAGGGATGGTCACTTTATATTAATTTAGTATAATGAGAACATGAGCAAGATTGAAATGTGTCCTTGTGTGTGTGGGCTTGTATTACTATCCTTTTGGGTACCGGAAATCCCCAAAAGATCCCACAAAGATAGTAAAACAAGGAAAAAGGCTATTTTAGGTTTGGGGGTTAGGTTTATGGTTACAATAGGGTTAGGATTAGAGGTTTAGGGTTAGGGGTTAAGGTTAGGGAAAATAGGATTTTGAATGGAAATACATTTTTGATCCCCACAAGGATAGTAAAAGATTTGCTGTGTGTGTCTGTCATTCAATATAGTTCTCTAAATATCCAAACAAGAGGATCAATCAAATAAATCTCATGACACAAAAGTGTTTCCTGACTACTGCAAGAACACTTAAAAGCTGAGTAAATAAATTATGACTTGCAGTGCATTTGTTATCTCCACAGGCAGCTAAGATAATTATGTTTTGACAGATCTTTCAGGGGTGCATAACTGCACTCCACTGATAACTACAACCTAATCACAAATATAGTGTGCAAGGTAAGCAATGTGCACCCAATGGACCAGCCCAGGTTGGACAAAAAAGGAGAGGAAAGGTGCTAAACTGAGGGAGAGTGAAACATTCTTCAACCCTGTGACTATCCCAGAAATGAATAAACACAGGAGCACTCAAAGTTGTTTCTTGATATTGGGCAAGCGAGATTACTCATCAGTCTTGATAGTGGGCAAGCGAGATTACTCATCAGTCTCATAGTTCAATTTAATAAAAACTGCATTGCAGTATTTATCATTTTCCTATGGTTAAATACAGTAAAATAATGGTTTTGGGCACAGCAAAAATACCAGGTAGACTCAACTCGCAAGCAGATGCTTCCAATTTTCATAATTACATTTCTATAGCAGGTAGGCCTACGACTGAATCCCAGCCAAAGTTTCTTAAAAGTGTTTACTTGTGCAGGAAATCTTCATGGCAGCTGTCTCCGATGTCATCGTCATTTAGGATGGTGTCCTTGATCTAACACGGAGGGAAAAACACAGTCCTTGGTGAAATAATCCTCAACACGAAGGACAAGATACATTTTTTATAGCTATAGTGAGACATACAGAAAATAGTTTTTGGTGAATTTGAGTAGCCTAATCTTCAAATTATAGTGGAATCGTGAGTTAGCAATTTGTCTCATTGATGAATAGCAAAATGTTAATTAAAGCTTCAGTCGAGCCTCATAGTGGTTAGAACTTAGAGCTTTATTTTTTCACAGAGATTAATGATGTGGAGGCTTTGAAGTTTTAGTTTCATATTCAACGTTTTTTTTGGGGTATGTAACGAAAGCTGTGTAACGAAAGCCGTGTGAGACTTAACATATCAGTGAAACTAGTTCGATGTCATTCTTGGATGTAATAATGTGACAATAGTGATAATAGTCTCCTTCTCGTGGACGTAGAAGTTCCTACATAAACGGGTCTGCAGAGTATGGTGAGTTCTACTGTAGTTGAGTTCTACTGTAGTTTTTGCACAGTACTGTTTTGCATGATTAAAGTGTTGCCCAATGTGCATGATTGGTTCAGATACTCACGTCTATGTCCTCTGGGACACTGTGTGTCTTCATGGAAGACAGCAGCTCCATGATGGGGACAATCTCTGATGTCAGCATAGAAATGATGTTGTAGCCCTGTACGTCAATGACAAAAAAAGGCATGGCAGGCTTCATGATTCAGGTGTTAGTGCTGACTTACTGGATTTTAACCCTTTCACTCTTTGGGGAGCATAGGTCATTCACGTGCTGGGTTAGTGCTGGGATAGAACAAGAATGTCAATTTCCCTAGGAATGGATTAAGAAACACTGCCTTAAGGGGATGGCCTAGTATGGGGTAGACTTGGAACATGGCATCTGAACACTTACCTTCTGCATCCAGATGCGTCCCTTCCGGATTATGTGTTTGAGCCTCTCCACACAGACCGTGTGCAAGGGCAGATAGAAGGCCAGCTCTGTCTGAGGCAGGATGATGGACAGGGCACACGTGTTCTTGTCACCCTTCAGCTCGCCATCGAAGATGAGCGAAATGATGATGACACCCTTCTCGGCTAGGACGAAGAACTTGACGTCCACCGCGCCACACTCTGCACTGCGCAGAATCTCCCCGTTCAGCGTGTGATTGGCCAGGAAGGTGACCTCGCCATCGCTCAGCAACAGCGGTTGCTCGCACCTGGGAGCCCAGATGTGGCACACCTGCGGGCCCAGGATGTTGTCCCAGTAGGCAAAGGTGACAGCGAGGATAGGGCATTCTCCTTCAACAGTCACCTCTGTCTTAGCCACTGTGGGCGACTGAGGTGGGCCTGAAGACATGTTGTGAACTATTTACTGTTTCTGGGAGGGGGGCCAAGAGGAAGACTAGACAGGTGGAACGTAGTGTGACCAGGCCTAAGCCTGGTTGGTAGAATTATCCAGCTCTTTATTGTTCAAACTGTGTTATAGGAAGATACAATAAACATGTCAGAATATAGTATTACCTACAATTAAACTAACAATACTGCACTCTAGCACCTTCACAAATACAAATCACCATAAAAAAAACTGCTGAGCTGAGGCTCATAGCCAATGCCTACAGCCTTGGTCTAGGGCCACACAAGGCACAACAACACTGTTTTGAAATACATTTGGACGGTTTAGGGTTACTGTCTACAACGTTCAAGGTTAATGTTTTTCAGGGGTTTAATAAATGTGTAACATAAAAGACGAACTACACATCCTGACATGCCGCATGTATGAATACATGTTCAATTATATCTGCATTTGAAAGAGAGGAGTTACTCACCAAAGTCGCATCGTATTTCAATTGTAGCTCCCACGAAGAGTTGCGACTAGCTTAGCATAGAAAAAACAACATAAGAATCACTTCCTCATTTGTCAATACTATGTCATTTTCCGTGAGGGCACACTGCCCTCTGGCGAAATATTAAGGTATCTAAAAGAGATTATGTCATTTTACCTGCAAAACAAATAATACAATTGAGGTGGTGATTCACATATTTTTCTGTTTAGATTTACTTTTACTTGACTCTTGACTTGCACCTGCTTTACAAACAAATATCACTGCATGAGCAGCAGGTATTTGGGTTACGTTGAGTGAGGCAGGAAGGAGTTATTTTGAAGGAAGGTCAATTAATTATGCCCTTTTTAATTCCCTTTTAGCCATGTAGGATAATCTTACCCTCACCAATCCATTAGGGGTGGAAATGTGCAACTGACAATATGTTTATATACGGTCTATGAACTGACCTTATATCACTGAGTGTCTAGGGGATCAATTCATCCACTCCTCTGCCCATGCCCTCTTTACCACCCTCTCTTCGTAACGAACTACAGTGTACACTCACTGTAGACCATCAACACTTTCTCTTCAAATTATTGGGATTGGATTACATCAAACAATCTTGGATCATGGAATCCTTGGTTATGTTGCGAAATTGTCAGATTTTTCCTTCAAGAGATGATAGGCAATTTGACTCAGGCTTCTCAAGAGGGCTCAACTGCCACATTTCAAAGAAAAAACACTGTGTGTCCTGGGCACAATAATAACCCAGAGCCCTTTTACTCTCATTCCAAATGAGGCACACACACAAGCATCTCTATAGTGGTTGGAAACAGAGAACTTCAAAGAATCCAGTCTCAGCTGGCTTAAATCCCTTTTTGACAGCTGCACTTCGACGCCATACTGGAAAAACTAACAAGCCAATAAACTGTGGATTTTGGATAAGACTATCAGACTGACAATGATCAGAGAAAGACACAGAGCAGGCCATCTTTTAGGCATCATCTTGGGTTAGAGTATTTGAAAGACCAATAACAACACCCGTGAATAGACAGATGATGAATGGTTGCGTTTATTCTATGCTTGTCACTATGTCTCAATTTGTTTACCATTGGGAAATGTACTCCATCGCTAGCCTGGGTCACTGATCCCAACATCTGTCTGATTTAGCCAGGGGGGTCTTGCATCCAAACACCGACTAGGCCCAGCCCTGCTTTAGCTTCAGGTGAAAAGACAGCCAGGGTGGTATGTCTGCTGTAGTGGAGGCTGCTGTTGTATTAAATGAAAACCTCATCCCACACAGAAAAACTTTTCAACTGTTAACATTTGCCTAGGACTTGAGGTAATACAGTGAGGGGAAAAAAGTATTTGATCCCCTGCTGATTTTGCATGTTTGCCCACTGACAAAGACATGATCAGTCTATAATTTTAATGGTAGGCTTATTTGAACAGTGAGAGACAGAATAACAACAACAAAATCCAGAAAAACGCATGTCAAAAATGTTATAAATTGATTTGCATTTTAATGAGGGAAATAAGTATTTGACCCCCTCTCAATCAGAAAGATTTCTGGCTCCAAGGTGTCTTTTATACAGGTAACGAGCTGAGATTAGGAGCACACTCTTAAAGGGAGTGCTCCTAATCTCAGCTTGTTACCTGTATAAAAGACACCTGTCCACAGAAGCAATCAATCAATCAGATTCCAAACTCTCCACCATGGCCAAGACCAAAGAGCTCTCCAAGGATGTCAGGGACAAGATTGTAGACCTACACAAGGCTGGAATGGGCTACAAGACCATCGCCAAGCAGCTTGGTGAGAAGGTGACAACAGTTGGTGCGATTATTCGCAAATGGAAGAAACACAAAATAACTGTCAATCTCCCTCGGCCTGGGTCTCCATGCAAGATCTCACCTCGTGGAGTTGCAATGATAATGAGAACGGTGAGGAATCAGCCCAGAACTACATGGGAGGATCTTGTCAATGATCTCAAGGCAGCTGGCACCATAGTCAACAAGAAAACAATTGGTAACACACTACGCCGTGAAGGACTGAAATCCTGCAGCACCCACAAGGTCCCCCTGCTCAAGAAAGCACATATACAGGGCCGTCTGAAGTTTGCCAATGAACATCTGAATGATTCAGAGGAGAACTGGGTGAAAGTGTTGTGGTCAGATGAGACCAAAATCGAGCTCTTTGGCATCAACTCAACTCGCCGTGTTTGGAGGAGGAGGAATGACCCCAAGAACACCATCCCCACTGTCAAACATGGAGGTGGAAACATTATGTTTTGGGGGTGTTTTTCTGCTAAGGGGACAGGACAACTTCACCGCATCAAAGGGACGATGGACGGGGCCATGTACCGTCAAATCTTGGGTGAGAACCTCCTTCCCTCAGCCAGGGCATTGAAAATGGGTCGTGGATGGGTATTCCAGCATGACAATGACCCAAAACACACGGCCAAGGCAACAAAGGAGTGGCTCAAGAAGAAGCACACTAAGGTCCTGGAGTGGCCTAGCCAGTCTCCAGACCTTAATCCCATAGAAAATCTGTGGAGGGAGCTGAAGGTTCGAGTTGCCAAACATCAGCCTCGAAACCTTAATGACTTGGAGAAGATCTGCAAAGAGGAGTGGGACAAAATCCCTCCTGAGATGTGTGCAAACCTGGTGGCCAACTACAAGAAACGTCTGACCTCTGTGATTGCCAACAAGGGTTTTGCCACCAAGTACTAAGTCATGTTTTGCAGAGGGGTCAAATACTTATTTCCCTCATTAAAATGCAAATCAATTTATAACATTTTTGACATGCGTTTTTCTGGATTTTTTTGTTGTTATTCTGTCTCTCACTGTTCAAATAAACCTACCATTAAAATTATAGACTGATCATTTCTTTGTCAGTGGGCAAACGTACAAAATCAGCAGGGGATCAAATACTTTTTTCCCTCACTGTATTAGAAGTTTAACGCTAAAACTTTTCATTGCTGATAACTGGTGCCTTATCTCCTCCTGCAAACTTTTTCATTTAGTCAGTAATTGTGTTTCGCCCTCAAGGCCATGGTCATTCATTCTCGCTAATTAGCCTTCATGACCCCCTAAGCACCGCTATGACCTCTCCATCAGCTAAAGTGCTTGACTTATGCCTCACTGCCTTGACTGTTGTCTGACACGCAACCACTAACCAAAATGAAGGAATAGCTGTTTTGTGTCTTCAAAATATCCTCAAACTTATAGGCCCTGGTATTGCAACCAAAATATACTTATATTTCATAAAACTGAATACCTTTGTGTTTTAGCAACAGGAATCATGTCATGAAAAGGCTGCACCAGCTCAAACAAGCATCAATAGAACAATTGAACTATTTAAAGCACACTTTTAAGATAGATCTAAGGAGAATTAAAGCTTGAATTAACCTCTTTAGGATCAGACCCTTTTTTTCAATTTCGCCTAAAATTACATACCCACATCTAACTGCCTGTAGCTCAGGACCTGAAGCAAGGATATGCATATTCTTGATACCATTTCAAAGGAAACACTTTGAAGTTTGTGTAAATGTGAAATTAATGTAGGAGAATATAACACATTAGATCTGGTTAAAGATAATACAAACCAAAAAATATGAGTTTTCATTTTTCATTTTTGTTCCATCATCTTTGAAATGCAAGAGAAAGGCCACAATATAATATTGCAGTTTAGGCGCAATGTAGATTTTTTGGCCACTAGATGGCAGCAGTATGTGTGCAAAGTTTCAGATTGATCCAGTGAAGCACTGCAATACTGGACTATTTTGTGTCAAGTCTGCCCAAATGTGCCAAATTGGTCAATTAATACATTTTCAAGTACATACCTATAGAGAACATACAAAAATGATATGGTAATACAAAATCTAAGTTTACACACTCCCAGGAATGTCATACATGATGGATCATTACCTTATACACTAACTTTCACACATCTAGATGGCCGGGCGGGGTGGGTGTGGAGCCAGAGACAGCAGGGGTTCAAACTGTAGAACCCAGTTTCTACATTTGACTATAAAAATTGATTTTATCAAACAAAACTATGCTACATTTTATCTCTGGGACCCTTAGGATGACAAACCAGAGCAAGATTACTGAATGTAAGTACATTATTTACCTTTAGAGGTGAATGTATCAAACCAGTTGCCGTGATAAGGTTTTTGTTGTTGTGCACTCTCCTCAAACAATAGCATGGTATTTCTTCACCGTAATAGCTACTGTAAATTGGACAGTGCAGTTAGATTAACAATAATTTAAGCTTTCTGCCCATATAAGACATGTCTATGTCCTGGAAAGTTTGCTGTTACTTACAACAGTCATGCTAATCACATTAGCGCACGTTAGCTCAACCGTCCCGTCTACGGGACACCGGTCCCGTAGAGGTTAATCAGCACCTCGCATCGTGCTTGTCTTCCTTTATGATTTAGTATCTGCTGTAGGGGAAGGGGACAGAAAGTCACACTTGCTAATTAATCATTCATACATTAAAACTTGGAGACTGTCTAACTGCAGCAGATGTAAAATTAATTAATAACTTAATTATTAATATATTGATATTAAATTCATAACTATGTTAATTTTGTACTCGTCTCCAGTCTCTCTCTCACCCTTTGTCCTTTTAAGTAAAATACACTGAGGGCACAAAATATTATGAACACCTGCTCTTTCCATGACATAGACTGACCAGGTCAATCCAGGTGAAAGCTATTATCTCTTATTGATATAACTTGTTAAATACACTTCAATCAGTGTAGATGAAGGGGAGGAGACAGGTTAAAGAAGGATTTTAAAGTCTTGAGACAATTGAGACATGGATTGTGTATGTGTGCCATTCAGAGGGTGAATGGGCAAGACAGAATATTTAAGGGCCTTTGAATGGAGTATGGTAGTAGGTGACAAGAGTATGGTAGTTTGTGTCAAGAACTGCAACGCTGCTGGAATTTTCACACTCAACAGTTTCCTGTGTGTATCAAGAATGGTCCACCACCCAAAGGATATCCAGCCAACTTGACACAACTGTGGGAAGCATTGGAGTCAACATGGGCCATCATCCCTGTGGAACACTTCGACACCTTGTAGAGTCCATGCCCCCACAACCTGAGGCTTTTCTGA